TGCGATCGAAGTAACTTTTATTAAAGAAAAATGTAGAAGAATTCAGTATTTATTTGATAAAATAATATCAAGTTTTCTTCGACGGAATTAGATTATAAGAAGAGATCAAAGTTCTGCTTGGATGAGTTACTAAGATTATCGGGTAGCGAGTGCTGTTTCTATGAGAGAATCAAATACATCCCATGAGACGCAATGAAATGTAGTTTTCGCGATAGATAGTGCACAAAACATGAGCTTGTAATTTAACATAAATTTAAATTGTGAAAAAAATATTTATGCTTACGCAAAAATATTTTAATATGCTCAAAATACATGCATTTGAATGTCACATTTGCACTTCGTTATTTGACGATGGAATCTTAGAAAATCGAAAATGTGAACATGAGCAAGATAATTTTTTCTTAGAGTTTATCTTGAACATATGATAATCATGGGACAACATTGTATATCGTATTGTCTTTAAATATTGCAACTACCATATTTTCAGGATAAATTTTAAAAGAAAATTCTCTCCATGTACAAATTATAAAAATAGAGTATATAAATAAAATTCTATATATATAATATGTGAATTAAATTATATACTATATCCAAATTCGTAATAATAAATTGTCACGTGTACACAATTACATACCAAATGCATAATAAATATCAAAGCTAAGTAATATTCGTGAAATTAATTTAAATGATATGAGATCTTTATTCACATTTTGTGTTAAATTATTTTCTTTCTACGAGCAGCAACGTAATCGACTATAGATGTTAGAAAGTTCAAGATAATTTCTCTTTTAGTGTCGCTATTAAGGATCTACAATTGCATTCTTCGTTCAAATAAGTTTAATTGAGCGAGGAGGCTGTAAGCAACCTTGCTTTATTATCAGAAATAATAACACTGTTTTTTTAATTATACCTTTTGCCATGATTTTTATGTTATAAGAAATTTTTATGCATATATGTACTACGTTTTTTATGTCTAAAATTAATGAATTATTGATATAATTCAGATGTAAATTGATAGTAATATTATATATCGTCCTTTTTGCAAACGATAATGATAACTTTTCGAAAAGATATACTCATTATTTTTGTAAAATCCATATTTTTGTTTGCGCAATATTAAGCCGATTTATTATTCTCCTGCTACATTACTCTCTAGAATAATATAATGATAACAACATTATTCATAATTGTATAAAAAATATATTATAGTATAATTAATATTTGGTTTGTAATATTTATTCATATTATATTTTTATTTTAATATATGTTCATGTAATACTCCTACTCTTGGGCTTTTACGTCACATATATATTTTTCAGTGTCCTCATTTTCCACATCACGTCGAAGTTTGTGTGTGTTGTTCTGATCAAATTTGGATTTAAATGTTATTATTTATGAAGAATGATTTATTAAAAATTGAATGCTTTTCAATACTGTTGACAAGACATAACTGATGCAGTTATTGAATATATGAAAATGGCATGTATCTTCTTTATTTCTGATATAATCGTCTTTACGTTAAATACAAAATTAAAGAATTTATCATCACGCGTCTAAATAAAAACATTTTTGCAACTTTATTTTTATTATAGTTACACGGAATGCGTAAGAATCCCTAGAAAAACAAACAATTAAAAATGGTAATGGTATAATATAGTAGTGACATCAATAAACGTAATAATAGATAATAGCTGGTGAGGGTGGGACATTCGAAATGATGTTATTTGTGGCAAGATCGGAATAGTAACATATTTTCAATGTGGATCAGTCGGTTGATGGTCCAAAGTCGACTGTTCGCGTCTGTGTTGTCCGAGACTAACCGCGTCCCGACGCTTGCGCCGCAGGTTCCACGACTCCGTTAGACGGCGCCCCGACGCTGGTACCGTCGGGCGAAGCGATCGGTCGGGCCAACAGTCAGCCTCCAGTGAGCCAAGCAAGCTCTCTTTCCCTCCCTCACGTTCCCCCGTCACATATACATGCACACGTATACACTGGATACACGCAGGCACACAACTACATACAAAAACGCAGTTACATACACACGTACAGGTACACGCGCACGTACATTCTCTCGCTCTCTCTCGCTCTTCTCTCTTTCTCTCTCTCTCTCTCTCTCTCTCTCTCTCTCTCTCTCTCTCTCTCTCTCTCTCTCTCTCTCTCTCTCTCCGCCAACATCCTGCGAGAGTCTCCATCCACCGAACGACACGAGAGGGAGTTCGAGTTCCTGGCTCGTCCCTCACGGCTGCAGTGCGTTTCCAAACACCCATGAGACAACCTCGAACTACTCGTACGCACGCACGCACGCATGCACACGGTATTGAAGAGACACGAGGATGAAACGATCGAGACGTTCCCGAGGCTTCTTATAATTAGTGCTAAAAAGTCGACGAGTTGGCCGCTGGACAGCCAACGACACGCGACTGTGTCATTGATATCAATACAAATTCGTTTTTTCTGCCCCTATTTTCCGTCTGTTGGATTAATTGACCGTCGTATTAATCTCTCTGTCAGATATCCGCGAGATATCCAAACGATATGATAAGCTTCCACTCATAAGCTCGAGTGAATTGTGTTGACTGTCGAAGGACTGAGAAGTTATATGTGTGCGTCGGGAAGGCCCCATGAGACCAATTGTGCTCTCAGTCAAAGTACGCGAATTGAATCTCGTCCCGATAATGTTATTTTGCAACGTATCCGATTCGCAGCTTCATCTTTGGTGCTGAAGTGTTTGAAACACGGATAAAGGAAACGGTCTTTTAGAGTTTTAAAGATGCAATGTTGAGAATATAGTGTAGCATCGTGACTCGATTGAAGATTTTTACGTGAGTCATACCGACTTGTATTTGCTCCGGATACAGAGGGAGGAAATTTACATACACGGAAATAACAATTTTCGTAAAAGATAAGACGTACTCCGTCAGAGGCGAAATGTCTCTGGTAAAGGGAAATCTACGATACTGTCAGAGCCGAAGAAAAAGGTAGCACTGTTAGATTATTAAACGGAGATCAAATCAAAAACAGAGCTAAAAGTATCAACTTGAAAGAAATTAAGCATTATCGACTAGTTCAAGTTGCACGTTGCGAGATAGAGAAGCTCTCTTACAAATCGGATGAAAACAAGTTCGTTCGCAAAGAGAAATTGGAGAAGAATTTTCTCATTTACTACGTCAAAAATCAAATTCAGGAATAGTTAGAGTGAAGGGATTCAAAGGGATGTCCGATAGATATCATGAATTACTACTGAAAATTTGAGTATTGCGGAGCAACGAATGGCATCTCGTTTCGAGACCAAGAAGCGACATTGATGAAATAAACATTTTCATATTAATTCTTATTGTCAATGCTATTTTACAACAGTTGAACGTAGATCGTTGGAAATCGTGAGTGAACTTATGAATGGATCTACTTAATCTAATGACCTAGTGCCGTATGAAAGAGGGTTAGAACGAGAGACAAGGAAACGGAACGTGTTATTACAGCGTAATGAGCTCCATAATATGTAAATAGGTGTACATACGGGAAAGTTCTTATATTATTATATTAGCGCGCGCGATTTCTTTAAAGCAAAAGAACGATTTTACGTCATTTAAGTTTTTTCTCCCTCTTGCTTCTCCTCCCTCTCTCTCTCTCTCTCTCTCTCTCTCTCTCTCTCTCTCTCTCTCTCTCTCGCTCGCTTTTTCTCTATATATTTCTCTGTCCTCTTCCTCTTGATTGTTTGTTCCTACGTATCACAAAATATCTTCATACACATGTCTTGTATTTAATAATAGAGTTTAGATTAAGAATATATGCGCTTTTAACTACGTACGATTGATAAATTGCTAATTCCGTGTACATTTAGAGAAGTTATTAGTAAGGCCTGCACATGGCTCGTGAGTAGCACTTTCGGACTCGCGTTAATATATATTACATATATTACATATTACATACAGCATAAATACGTGTACATATTTCTACAATCTATAATCTCTATCGTTCTGATTTGTCTCACTGATTTTGTAGTATTCGAAAAGCAGGTCGGAGCAGTACGGGTATCCAGCGCTTAGCCTTTTAGCCCCGGCGCGATAATTAATTAGCTCGCGGGCATCGTTAGAATGAAACAACGTCGAGCCGCGCGTAGGACTTGAGGAAAGAAAGCGAGAGAAGAAACACAAATTGAAGTGAAACGAGGAAATCGCGTTTTCGTCACGAAAGAGGAAACGTACGAACGCGTAAATCAATTATCGAGTTTTAGACAAAATCATGTCTCACGACTGTGTCAAAACGGCTGTCATCTTGTAAAATTACTTTGGGGATCTATCCTAAAGAGAAATTTCTCACGATCATTGGCACTTTCTCAAGAGATCTTTTCTCGCTTCATTTACCTCCAGGCTATGTAGGCTGCTCAAGCTTAATATAAAGAAAAGGTAAAAAAAGGGGACCAATTTTTTACTCTTATTCTCACAGCCTCTCTCTCTCTCTCCCTCTCTCTCTCTCTCTCTCTCCCTCTCTCTCTCTCTCTCTCTCTCTCTCTCTCTCTTTCTTTTCTTTTCTATCTTATCTATCTTTCTCTTTCACTTTCTCTATCTATCTTGATACTCTTAATCAAGTCGCCCACTGGACTATCTATAAATCTCTGTACACTCTGTCCGTGTTAAGTCTGTTGTGGACCAGTGAATGCAGGAAATACGAGGAATGGAGTCGCGACTCATGCAAGCAATAAATTAGAGACCAACTAAGTATGACCACGGCACCGAAAACGTAACAGAAGTAACGTTACGGCTACAACGGTAGGAAACCGAAGGTGTCAGTTACGCCGAAATTAGCTAAATTTAAGCTAAACTAGATTCTAAAAGATTTGGTCCAATAGAGGAAAAAAAGGCGGTTAATAATTATCAAAAATTGTGAAATTTTAATCGCACTGTGTTAGTTGCGCTAAGGAAAATTAATATAAACGTGAGTGCCGTGAATTCCAAAATTACGCGTGCAAAGTAGTAATATCAAAATTTTCACAACTTAAGTAAAAAAGAAAAAAGATTTAAGCAAAAAAAAAAAAAAAAAGATTTTTTTTATTAAACTATCGTGATTCACGTCTTTAAAATACGCATCGATTACAGTGGGAACAAGCTCTACCAACAAAGTTGGTTTCGCAAATCAACGTTTGTTTGATCCAAAAAAATAATCTTCAGCGAGAGACAACGGCTTCCAGAACGAGCCGAGAGGACGAAGAAGAGCACGTGTGGACGTATTTACGTATTCGACAACGATGGCATTATCCTGAAACGGGCATGACGCCCTTGGCCTCGAGATGCGACGAGACTACCACCCTCCTACTGTTGCTGCTACTCGAGCTGGCACCCGGGGCACGTTGCTATTCGCGCGCGGCCGCAACCTCAGCTTCGTCTTTACCGAGATAGCATTTACAGTCCCCGGCGAGGGTGCGAGTGATGCCGCTTCTCGGCAGCATTATGACCATCGCCGTCGATAATCCGACAACGGCGTCCACGAGCGTCTTTGAGGGGAACATGACGTGGTCTCGACCAGTCACTGGTGGCTCTACGTTTCCGAGTAACGAGGCCCTTTCAACACGTGCGATCCCGAACGGTAAGCAACATCGGCGTCCAGCCGTGACAGCTACCAGTGGTCGTGTTAGTCGCCTCCTTGGCGGTAAAGGTGCTGAGAAAGGATCAAGCAAGAACGCTGCTAAAAACAACGAAAAACACGTTGAGAGAGACGGTAAAGACGAGCGTAACGGCACCACGACGACCGGAAAAGAGGGCGTCGAGGCAATAAAAAAGGAAGCTTCCCACCGTTGCGATCGGACTTCAGAAACTCAAATTTGCGGCAGAAACACCGTAGGCGCGGCAAAGAGTAGTGGGGAAACTGCATTTACTGGTGAAGAAAAGGGGGCAGGGCTAAGTACTGGGGGTGGCAGCAGTGAACAAAGTGTTGATAGCATAGGCAGTACTACCGATAGTGTAAGTGTGAGTACAGGTATATTAAACAGCACGGAGGAGGAAGTCGCGATCGAATACGGGAAGGATTTGTTGCTCTTCGGTTTTAGCGACACAATGGAAGACGCAATTAATTCGTTCAACGATTCGTTTAACGGAAGCTCCCGCCATTCCTGGAATATTAGTTTGTACAATAACGAGACTTTAATTGTTTTTGGGGAGGGTATGTACCCATCAGGATATACTCTCCCGCATATTATACTGGCGTCTATCCTCGCGACGCTACTAATGATCGTGATCGTTGTGGGAAATATGTTGGTAATAATTGCCATAGCTACGGAGAAAGCGCTCAAGAACATACAGAATTGGTTCATAGCCAGCCTTGCGGTAGCGGACTTTTTTCTTGGTCTCGTGATCATGCCATTCTCGCTCGTTAATGAGATCATGGGTTACTGGATCTTTGGGTATTGGTGGTGTGACATTCACTCTGCCATGGACGTGTTGTTGTGTACGGCCAGTATCATGAATCTGTGCCTAATCAGCTTAGATAGGTTTTGGAGCATTACACAAGCAGTCGACTACCTGAAGAAAAGAACACCAGCCAGAGCCGCGCTTATGATTGCCCTCGTCTGGATACTATCGGCGCTTGTTTGTATACCACCATTACTCGGATGGAAAAGACCCACTCCGGAGGAAGAATATCCTAAATGCGAGGTAAGTTACAATGTTATCAAATTAGAGAATTATTATTTTCTTAGTTACTCATTAATTATCAATTACCATCTCGACTATAATTACGTAATCTGAGTTATCGATGAATAAAATTAATATCAAACACAGATAATTATGTAAGAATTTCAAATTGTAACAAATCACTCTCAGACATTATATTGAGATATAGAAAATTAAATTATATATATTATATATTGTATATTGTATTAGGTTTCTCTAATAAATCGAAAAATTGAAACATTACTGCGAAAATAGACAAATATCATCTGTACCTTTAATTTATTTATCTTTTCTTGTTATTAATATATTTTTTATTATGAATTGTTGCTTAAGAATTATTACAGGGAAGAAAACAGTGACTCGAATTCAGATGCTTTATAAACAATTATGAAATGTACCAGATAAAATTTAATTTTCAATCGTTAACTCCAGTAATTATAATGAATACAATGAATTCTATTTGCCATAATAATTAACAATTGCATTGTCCTGTAGAGTGATGT